ATTTTCACTTAGGGGTGTACTCACTTTTGTGGCCAGCGGTTTAGACGTTAATGGCTGTGTTGAGTTATTTTGAGGGGACAGCAAATTTACACTGTTATACAAGCTGTACACTCACTACTTTACATTGTAGCAAAGTGTAATTTCTATAATAAAATATAATAAGATATTTACACAAATGTGAGGGATGAGCTCACTTCTGTGAGATACTGTGTGTATAAATTAGAGGCGTGTGTGGTAAATTTGTATTTTTATTTTTATTTTTATTGTAGTGGTTCAAACGGTAAGATTCTTAATTCTTCATGCTCTCTTTACAGGGAGATGCTGGTTTGACTGGCCGTAAGATCATTGTGGACACTTATGGAGGCTGGGGTGCTCATGGAGGCGGCGCTTTCTCTGGAAAGGATTACACTAAAGTTGACCGTTCAGCAGCCTATGCTGCCCGCTGGGTGGCCAAGTCTCTGGTGAAGGCTGATCTGTGCAAGCGTGTTCTGGTCCAGGTGAATATTTAGCAGTCTTTCGCCATCTATTAGTGTAATAGGGAAGGTATAAGTACAGTCTTACCCATTTACCGGTTTCCTCAGTTGTCTTACGCCATTGGAGTGGCCCACCCCTTGTCAATCTCCATCTTCCACTATGGAACCTCCCAGAGGAGCGAGAAGGAGCTGCTGGAGATCGTGAAGAAGAACTTTGACCTCCGCCCAGGCGTCATCGTCAGGTAAAGTGTGCTCCTCGGTGGCGACCCAACCGCCGCCTCTCAGTTTGATGGTTTTCAAGTCATCTTTGACATTTTGCTCCCGCGTTTCCTGAGTTTGGTCTTTTGCACCGTTAACATTATAGAGGCTCATTGAGTTTGACTGAACGTCCTTTGTGCATGGCAATTGTCTTACTCTGTCTCCTGTACAATTCCAGAGAGCTGGACCTGAAGAAGCCCATCTACCAGCGCACCGCCGCCTATGGCCACTTTGGCCGTGAGTCCTTCCCCTGGGAAGTTCCCAAAAAGCTTAAATACTAAAGCTGTAACCCCCCCTCCTTTCTTTGGGCAGTAGGTGTACGTTACAGAGAAACCTACTCAACCCGTCGGAGGGGGGAGATGTACCAAATCCTCTCACTCCTAACCTCACACCCACTCCCAAAGGTAATTCCCCTCCAATGGCGTTCTCCCCATACAACTCTACCTTCAACCCTGTTCTTTGCTGTACTGTTTTCGAAATATCTGTGGATGGTGACTGCGTGGGTCTTTTTTTAAATTTTTTTTTATTTTTTTATTTTTTTTTACTTAATGCGCCCTCTTCTCCACCCATCTCTCTTCGACCCTTCCTTCCTTCCTTGCCTACTTGCTTGAAAGATCACAAATGAAGACGGCACAAATGGGGGTCAAAGGTTGTTCTGTGATGCTATGCATTGCTGGCTGAAGCACTAACCCCTCGACTTTTTGTTTTACCAACTAAGAGAACTAATGCTTACCATTTTCCAGGTCCACCACTTTATGCGTACCATCGCGAATGGGATCAAAACCTCTCGTCAAATGTCGAAAACCTGTCTTTAGTTGGATTCAACAAGAATGTGTTTAAGTTACATAGTACAGGGATCGGATTGAGACATTTTAATAGACTTTTTACACATGAATACTATCACGATGGTTTCATCCCGGTCACTGCAGGCCGTGTTGATCTTATTTCTGACGTGTTACAGAGAAGTCAGAAGCTGCTACCAACTGTTGTGGTTCTGCAGGACCGGCGACGCAACCATTTCCCTTCGGTCTCGATGGTGATTCCAGATTAAACCTTCTGGTAGCTGTTATGTGATGTTCTACTAGACCACGGCGGAGGCAAAGCACTCCCTCTCTGCGTGTGGTGATAGCGGGCGTAGCTACAGAGAAGCCCTGCTCCCTCACTGGCGCAGAGGGGCCTCCTCCGCCTCTTGAATCGCTCCATACTTGAATACTCAACCTAATATTTGCTTGGTGATCCTCTTGAGCCTCGGCGTCGGTACAGAAAAGCCTGGGATCTCAAGGTGTGACTGCCTTTAAGGTTTTTTTTTTTGTTTTTTTTACATGAAAGGAATAGTTTTTAAAGACAATGAATACTTGTTTTCATTTGCTTTAACACCATAGTCATGGTGTATGTCCTGCGTGCCGGCTCTGTGGTCTTCCCTTGGTGTCCTACAGAAAGCTTTGGGCTCTTGCCACAGGCTGGTGCTGGTAACTGTGACCATTGTTACACTTTTTATTTTTTTTAACGTGAGTGAAGACCGGTAGATGAGACTGTCCATACGCACACGTTTTACGTTCGGGACTCCCGGCGCTCCCACAGACAGAAGCGAGTCTGGTCGGTGTTGTACAGAGAAACCGGCTTTGTTTACATGCTCTCTCTGTTGGGTGTGGTTGGGTTGCAGTCTTTTTATATAATGCTCATCTTCTGTTTTTCGTACAAATATATTTAGTTTTAATTCCAGAGATTGGTGCATCAGACTGGTTACTGAAAGAGTAGAAGTGCCTTTTTCTATTGTTTCTTTTCCTTTGTCACTCCTCTCCCTCTTCTCGCCTTCCCCCTTTGTTCACCTTTTCTCTCCTTCCCTTTAAATTTCCTCTCGTGATACATGTGAATCCACAGAGAACTCCTGAATTCCCTTCCTTTCAATGCTCCGTGATGGTTCGGTCAGTGAAATGAATAAAAATTCTGACCCTTAAGACTCTTGTTTTATGATATTTCACATTCCTGCCAGATTCTTCGGAGGGGGTTGCCACCTTTTCCCTCTTTCCCTCCTTTAAACGTTTACAGCCCCTTCCATGATTGAGGTGCAAAATAGGGCTTTGATTGTATGGTATGCATTGTTTTAAAGCTGATAAAACAACTTCACACTTGTAACTCGTACAGCCTAAAATTGAGTCAATTTTGTTTTACAGTTTTGTTCGGAACATGAAATTGAAGTTTTCTGTACAACTACACTACCTTTCAAATGTTTGGGGTTGGTAGTTTATTTTTGTTTTTTTGAAAAATTTATGCTGACCATGGCTGCATTCTATAAAAATACAGTAATATTGTGAAATACTGCAATTTTAAAACTTATCTATTTTTCAAATATTTTATTCCTGGTGAAGGTGAATTTTCAGTGTCACATGATCCTTCAGAAATCATTCTAATATGTGGATTTGATGCTCAAACATTATCAACTTTTTTGTTGTAAGGTTATTTATAAACTTTTGCTTTTGATAAATTTAATGCCTCCTAGCTAACAATCAATAACAATCGTGAAGATGAATCATTGAAATTTGAGGCACACAGCAGGATTTTCTGTAAGTCCCATACATGTAGTCTTAAAACGGCAAGGTTACGTGATTTAAAAGTAACATGTTATTGGATACTTTAAGGGCTGCACTTTTATTTCCATCAATGTTGTTTTTTTTTCTTCTGAAAGATGTTGCCATATGGTGACACCTTACCACACAGGGTTAAAAAAAAAAGCGTGTTGATCAACTTCAGGAGGTCAGAATAAATATTATGCATTTCTGACCTTATCTAAAACCGGTTAAGATTGAACAAACTTCTGAGTGCCATATTTGGTGATCGCTAGTCGAATATCGACATGGGTATCATAGGATGAGTGGATTGAGCAGCACATCCTCGTTCTGTACTGGAGAAAAATAAAACCCTAAAAACAAACCCTTCAAAAAAATTGTAACTTTAACCAGACGTTAAAGTGAATTTGAAAAGTTTCAATGTAATTCAGCATCACTCATTAAATATCAAGGAATTACACAAATGTGCAAACCTCACCACTGTGTTTGTACTCTTAGGCTGAATTTGCACTGCAGATCTGGATGCCCAAATCGGATTATTTGACTATATCCGGTTTTTATGACCTGCTTACAAGTTCTTTTAAAAGTGATCTGAGTATATCGGAATCCATGTGCTTTTTTCCTGCTTACATGGTCCTGGGCCATATCCGTGCCACAAGGGAGGAACAAAATCGGAATTGGGTCACGTGAACTATGCAGTGTAAATGCGACCTCATTTTTGAGTTTTGACAGGGAGAATTGGTAAAAAGAGTCCTTTTCAACAATAGTATGCTCCTGCACAACTGGAGGCTGCAGTTTCAGGACCATGTTTCCAGGACCCTAGTTTTTTGTAACCGCGCCACTTACCGAATTGGATGATCTAGCGGAAGCTGCAGTTTCAGGACCGTGGAGGTTTAGTTTGTAGTAATGTTTGTACACGTTATCAAAGATATTGAATCTCAAGGGAAAAAAAATTCAATTGTGATTTTTCATTTTAAAACGCATCGGAGGTTAATTACAAAGTGTGTAATACCTGCTTTGGGTCACAATTTAAAATTTTAAAAAATAAATGTACACTTAAAGGGGTCATATGATGCGATTTAAATTTTTCCTTTCTCTTTGGAGTGTTACAAGCTCTTGGTGCATAAAGAAGATCTGTAAAGTTGCAAAGACTAAAGTCTCAAATCCAAAGAGATATTCTAGTGGGAAGGGTGTCCACATACTTCACACTGTATTTTTCTAATACATTTAATCTCAGGTATGCATTTTACTCTTAGATTCGTCTTTGAGAATTTGATGTCTTGTATCATTGAATTGGCTGTGGAGATAATTGGCATAATACATATTTACCTGACAGATAATAAATTGTTACATTTGATTCATTCTGATTACGCTGAAGTTATTCTCTCAAGTAGATTAAGTGAAGGCTTATGTTTCCGCAAATCTGCGTCTAGAGTTAAACCTAAATTGAATAACTCTGCGCGCTGAAAAGACCGAACACGCAAGAGACCTTCATCCGCCACTGGATACCTTCCTTGGGCCAGGTGCGCGGACCTTACAGGGGCGTAACATTTCCGTCACGCGCTTGAGGTATTCGGCCAATCACAACGCACTGGATATCTGCCAATCAGAGTACACCTCGCTTTTCAGAACGATGAGCTTTGTAAAAATCGATGCGTTTCAGAAAGGCGGGGCATAGAGGAGAAACAATAATGTACAGTATGTGGAAAATAATGTGTTTTTTAACCTTAAACCGCATAAACACATTTCATTACACCAAATACACAAAATAATGTTCTTTTTAGCAACATCATATGACCCCTTTAAAATATAAATGAAAAATTTATTTAAATCTTTATACAACGGGAAAAAGTGGATTACCTTAAAAGTCTTAGTTTATTGAAATATACTGTATATTGATTAACCCCCTTAAGTTTAAGTAATTAGCTCATTATCAGGTCAAATAAAGATGGAATCAAATGGAATCAGCATTTGCAGTCACTAAATTACAGCCAGATATTTTAAAGGGGTCCTATTATGCTCTTTTACAAAGTCTTGATTTTGTTTTGGGGGTGTACTAGAACAGGCTCTCGTACTAAGTTTTTCGAAAAACACATTATTTTTCACATATTTGACATTATTACAACACCTCTCTCCCCAGTCTGGCATGAACGGCTCGAATAGTTCCTGTATCAAATGAAGGCCCGCCTTCTGAAATACGAAATGTGCTGTGATTGGTTAGCTGGGCCAGTGTGTGCTGTGATTGGTTAGCTGGGCTAGAGTGTGTTGTGATTGGTTAGCTGGGCCAGTGTGTGCTGTGATTGGTTAGTTGGGCCAGTGTGTGCTGTGATTGGTTAGCTGGGCCAGTGTGTGCTGTGATTGGTTAGCTGGGCCAGTGTGTGCTGTGATTGGCAGCACTCGGCGCCTGGTCGGGAAATGTCATGCCCTTTACCATAGCCGCCTGCGAGCTTCAGTGTAAATATTACATCAAAATCAAATCAATTTGATCACGATTTAACCCCAGATGATTGAAACCACTCTAAGTTCATCTGCCTTGGGAAAGCTAGCTGTCTAACACTCGTTGCCTTCTCTAGTGCAGCTCAACCAGGTCTCGTCCCATTCGTCGATATTTGTGATATCACAAATCCCGGAAAATATGCGTTGTAGTCCAAACGAGTCGTTTGTTGTAGTTTTTGAAAAGATTTTTTCTGTTACATAAAATATTTCCTTTTGAATTGGACTTTGAGCTTTGTAATTTTGCTGATCTTTTTATGCTCAAACAGCAACATTACAGACTAACTAAAGTTGAAAAAGTGAAAAAGCATAATAGGACCCATAGAGAGGCTCAAGAATGATTCAAGACTGTATATTTATGGCAAACCATGGTGCTAAACCAATTATTTTGAGGAGATTGATACATTTAAGATAAAGATACAATAATTTGCAGCATAGTTAAAAGATAGTAAAGATGAATAAACGTGAGCATTGTTAAAGTACCACCAAATGCTCCTTAGATCCCTGTAACTAACCAAATCCATAAAATCACCATGTAACCATGCAGAACATGACAGAGTAGACCTGCAGATGAACTATTAAAACTGCCAAACGTCTCATTCATCACTGCAAAACAATGCCAAAACGACAGGCTAATAACACATATTGTGGTGCAACCAGACAGTCAGCGCAGTTTAATTATGAAAGATGATTTATACTTAACTAATGGTAAAACAATGAGTATTAAACAAGTTTTCACACGAATACAGTAAGCTAGGCAAATCTGACACATCTCACATTATCAACATGCTTTTATCATCTTTTTAAGTTTAATTAATGTGCTGGCTAGATTTACTTATTACAGTCATTAAGTCAACAAGGTTTAATTAAATCATGGCCACGAATTAAGAACGTCGTAATAATTAATAAAATTAGCGCACAAATTCTTAATTCGTGGGAATTAATTATTCATTCATAGTTAGCAGCTCTCACTTTGGCTATGTAAACTTTTCGCAGGCCATGCAGTATCGGAAATGCAAAGGGACTGTAACCTCAAAACACCAGACAGAAAGTGAATCATATTTTATAGCTGGGGTCTCAGAGACCCCAAGCAGAACATAAAGGTTAAACAGCTCACCCAAAATATTTTTTCAGCTACCTACGTCAATTATGCACTATGATCACATGCTAGCGTATTTTATATTATTGATCAATATGTGAATCCGTTGACCAGGCTACACATGACACGAGTTCTGGTCACAAATTAATTTAGATGAGATTATATCAGATTAGTTGGAACTGTACTGATCACAGATTGATTCCACTCTTGTGTGTCACGGACTTCCAAAGCGCTGATCATGATAGTCTCCCAAAAAAAATAAAAAAAAATAAATTCCTGAAGCAATTACAAAAAAACTAATGTCTAGTACATTGAGGTATGTGGAGTATTGGAGTCCCAGCTGCTCCAGGAGGCCTTTCTGTGTGGAGTTTGTTTGTTCTCTCTCTGTTGACGTTGGTTTCCTTTGGGTTTCTTCGACAATCCAAAGACATTCAGGACAGGTGAACTGGAGTGTGAGTGTGAATATAAATGTGTGTGTGTTTGTCATCCCTGTGATGGACTGGCCATCTGTCCAGGGGGGTTTCCTGCCTATGACCCAGGAAAGGCTCCAGCCTCCCCATGACCCTAGGACAAGTGCTTTGGAAAATGTATGGAATAGATGGATGGATGTACTGTGAGTGTTCCTTGTCTTCCTTGATCCATGTTTCCAAACAAAATCATTCTGAAGGCATCTATCCTATTTGTTTATCGAAAAGATCACCAAAAAAAAACTACAAATAGGACATCTGGCTTGGCTTTTGTGTTTGGAATAAATATTATTCAATTTCACGGTAAATAGATTTTATAGGACAAGTGCTTTGGAAAATGTATGGAATAGATGGATGGATGTACTGTGAGTGTTCCTTGTCTTCCTTGATCCATGTTTCCAAACAAAATCATTCTGAAGGCATCTATCCTATTTGTTTATCGAAAAGATCACCAAAAAAAAAAACTACAAATAGGACATCTGGCTTGGCTTTTGTGTTTGGAATAAATATTATTCAATTTCACGGTAAATAGATTTTGAAAAGATTTTTTTATTTCA